TATTCCAGCCTCTCCGAATAGAAAAAAAAATCTCTGCATAAAGAACGAACAATATGATTCCTTGTAGGACTTCTAAACAGTGGATGTTGGTTATTGTCATAGAAACTGATTGCTGAAACTACTCTTTCTTCATTTAATATTATTTAAGCCAAAAAGAAAAAAATAGATAAAGACAAAATGTGATGATAGTGAGAAGAAAAAAGGAAGAATGTTGTAAATGCTAGAAGCAATGAAAGAGGAAACTAAGTTCATTAGTCCCGTGCAGCAAAGAAAAAACAAAGCAGAAGTAACAAATTAAATATACATGCGAACGCACAAGACTACGAGTGGATGTTACGTGAGCTACAATTAGAGACGTCCAAACATCACGACATCGTGTTCTAGTAACAATGTTACCAGAGCAGAGAAGAATACAATATATCGTACGATGGAAAATACTGTTAACAGCGAGGAAACATAGTTAACGAAATAATGCATTCTAATATTCTTAACTAAGGACGTATAAAATATGCTTATTCAGCTTCACTCATTATCGGGTTAATTATTAGTTTCGTTCCGAGAAGGTAGCTTGCTCTGATCGTAAGTTAATGTTAATAGAAGTCCGTGTTTTTATCTAAAGTCTACCAATATTATTTCTACTTCCAGCGCATATAGAACTCGTCTTATTTGCATACTTTCGTTCTGTATATTGCTTCATTCGAAAACAAAAAGTCGGTCTTGAACAGTTAGATAAATTACTTCAAACTAGAGAACAAATACATAAATATAAGCATTTGGCATCAGACATTTCCAACAATTAAAAACATGAAATTCTGGATAGAATTCAGGAAAATTTGCTGAATTAGAACAAAAGCATTGAATTGGCAGATGTCACGATCTGTTATTCACTTTCCATTAATAATTTACACAAGTAACGAAAAAAAAATGTTCAGAAAAGTAAGTAAATGTAGAGATGGCTGATATCAATCTTTCAAAAGCAAATCAATAGTAGAGATGACATTTGCATCATTCCTACGTAACAGCACAGGCACACAGCGTAGTAGAATGTTTACAGACAAAAATAGGATAAATTAAAGTCAATTGTGATTGAATAGTTATATATATATTGCTATATGTTAAATGTTGCCTGTGTTATTATGTAGAGATGATGCAAATGCCATCCCTACTATCCTGTTTACATTGTTTTTGAAGGATTGATATTAGCCATCCCTACATGTACTTCCTTTTATGAAAAACGTTTTCCTCACTTGAAATAATCCAAAATGTTCGATACAGATAATGGATTGATTGTTTCTTTTTAAAGCAAGGCCACATTGGGCAATCTGCTGTGTCCACCATGGGGAATCGAACCCCGGATGTTAGCCTTATATGTCCGTAAACTTTCCGCTGTCCAATAGGGTGACCAGATAATAGCCGGGGTACAAGGCGATTTGGGGATAAAGTAACGTTTTATTCTGGGATTGCATTCGTAACAAAACATTATTAGCCTATTTTTTTTTTCAATAACGATTTCATAAGAATATGAATTGGTTTTTCATCCCAGGTGGGGCTCTAAGCAGGAATGACACTAGAAAGTGTTTGATATGCCTTATTATTCTATTTTTGAGAAATATAGTATCAGTGAATACATTTTTGTGGTTCCTACGAATTGCCCTCTGCTTCTTTACGAATTTAATATTTTCTCTCTCTCTGTGCTGACTCGATATCCACACTTTTATGCTGCTCCAACAACCCTGCGTTTCGCTTACACACTTGCAAACTGTTACTGAACTGATGCGGCAGCAACGAAACATTACTGCGTTTCGCTTACACACTTGCAAACTGTTACTGAACTGATGCGGCAGCAACGAAACATTACTGCGTTTCGCTTACACACTTGTAAACTGTTACTGAACTGATGCGGCAGCAACGAAACATTACTGCGTTTCGCTTACACACTTGCAAACTGTTACAACAACGAAACATTAACGTCTTATCTATAGACAAACAAATCACGTATTATAATTAATTGTATAAAACAGCACTTAGAAAAAAAAAGACGGCTAAACTTTTTTTTTTTAATCAGAAGAAATACTGGTAATTGTAAAGGTTTACTCACAATACCTTTTACACAATAAATCAATCGCAAATAAGTTAGGCTACTATTTATATGAATTGAAGACAAACACGCCCTTCAATTTAGTCTAAACATCTGCTCTATGCCAGTTTCGTAGTAAACTAGAATACAAAAGAGAACAAGAGCAATCATAGAGCGTGCATACCCTCGCCCGCTGCTCCTTTTCGAGATTGTTTAAGTTTATATTGGATATCATCAAAATTTCACCTTCAAAAGCTCAGAAAATCCTTCTCAGATCCAGAATGATCAACGATCCGGATTTTTTTTTAAGTGTGGTAAAAGTCTCAACTTCAATGTGCTCATGAAACCGATCACACTTTACAGAATTATTAACCCAAAACCGCGGAAATGTCCTTTCTCCTCATTATAAAAACATGTTTCAAAGTGATCAACGATCCGGATCCAGATTTGGATCCTGATCAAGGTTGGGGAGGACTGTCCTATACTGACTTCCCATCTCATGTAAACTTTTCGTATACATCGGCCCATTTCTTTCTATGAGAGACGCTCACGGAAACACAGACAGACAGACAGACACACAAACGGTACCAACAGCAATATTCTCGCCCCCCTCTCCTCGGGGGGCGAGGGTAATAAGATATAAGATTAACACGAAACTAATCTTTTGTAGTGAATCCATTGTATGAATTGAGCTTAATAACCATTAAACGAATATTTCACACAGTTAACATGAGAGCTTAATAGATGAAGCTTTCAAAGATGTTCACACACTTTCCCGGTTTGGGTTAGGAAGGTTGCCAATATTCTGTTTGAATTCAACACAGTTAACATGAGAGCTTAATAGATGAAGCTTTTAAAGATGTTCACACACTTTCCCGGTTTGGATTAGGAAGGTTGCCAATATTCTGTTTGAATTCAACACAGTTAACATGAGAGCTTAATAGATGAAGCTTTTAAAGATGTTCACACACTTTCCCGGTTTGGATTAGGAAGGTTGCCAATATTCTGTTTAAATTCACAGCCTGTGTTTTTCTTCTTCGATTCTTACGTGACCTAGCTAACTAATGAATAAATATTTGCTGTAAAATTCCTATCAATACTATTAGTGTAGCTACCAGTTTGGCCGGGAATTTTGATTTCATTCCTTTAAGTCGCACACTCAATCCTTTTTTGGCTGCACCCTTATTCATACCTAAGGTGTTTTTGATTAGATTTTATTTTTATTTTTTTTTGTCAATACACAACAACAAACCACAGCAAGTAAGAAAGTGACACTAAATAGTAACCAACATTAGCTTTAGGCTCGCAATCCTATTATTCGGAACAGACCTATACTTTATAGAACCAACCAGATTCTGTAAAATATATGTTGGTAGTTATTTCTCTCTAAAACAGCGTTAATAACGTCATTTAAAGTAACGCCATGAAATCCAGATTAACACTTTCTTATCATCACCTTCATGGTGGCAGTTCTTCCTCTCTAAAACAGTGTTAATAACTTCCTTTATAGTAACGCCATGGAATCTTGATTGACAGTTTCTTGTCATCACCTGGATGGTGGTAGTTTTTCTCTGCAAAACAGTGTTAATAACTTCCTTTATAGTATCGCCATGGAATTCAGATCAACACTTTCTTATCAACACTCGCATGGTGGAAGTTCTTCCTCTCTAAAACAGTGTTAATAACTTCCTTTATAGTAACGCCATGGAATCTTGATTGACAGTTTCTTGTCATCACCTGCATGGTGGTAGTTCTTCCTCTATAAAACAGTGTTAATAACTTCCTTTATAGTAACGCCATGGAATCCAGATTAACACTTTCTTATTAGCACCCGGATGGTGGTAGTTCTTCCTCTCTAAAACAGTGTTAATAACTTCTTTTATAGTAATACCATACAATCTTGATTGACAGTTTCTTGTCATCACCCGCATGGTGGTAGTTCTTCCTCTCTAAAACAGTGTTAATAACTTCCTTTATAGTAACGCCATGGAATCCAGATTAACACTTTCTTATTAGCACCCGGATGGTGGTAGTTCTTCCTCTCTAAAACAGTGTTAATAAATTCCTTTATAGCAACGCCATGGAATCTAGATTGCCGGTTTCTTGTCATCGCCCGTATGGTGGTAGTTCTTCCTCTTTCATCCGAATGACAAGAAAGTAAAAAAATTCACTTATGTATTTAGATGAAACTGTAGTAAAATTTTCAGACCGATAATTTAGTTGACTTTTGGAGTGAGTGTGCGCAAAAACTTGAGGCAAAATGTAGCTGTTTTTGTTAAATAACTTTGTACATGTGACCTAAATTGAGACCAAATTTCCTTTACAGCCAGTCACATTAACGCCTCCATTCGTCTTACTGTTAACCGTGGCATCAGTTTCTACATTCAAGCTATTACATATTTTGTTTTTGCTAATGATTCTCCTCAGAATTCTGGATTTGTGAACAAATATATTTCAAGTTTATGCCCCTTCAATAAAGGAACCTGAATTACAAAAAAATCTTACTCCTTATTATTTGTTGTTTTTAGTTTATTGGGACGTATCTTTTCAAAACCCTAGTAGATTATCCGACCTCTATAGAATCATGGTTTCTGATGGTAACACTGAAATATGTTATAAATGCATAAAATCATAACCTGGATGTCCTCAATTAGCAATATCTGTTGGCATGGTAAAGGAGAAAATATTAGCAGTTGAAAAAAAATACCGAAAAAATTTAGTGTACGTGGAAAATTTGTACTGTCGTGAAATGGGTCTTTACGAAGTGAAAACAAATATATATATATATACGAATAGTTTGAGCAACACAACATGATAATTACTGGAAATTACATAATTTATACTTATTTTATCATCTCCATTCGTCAGTGTTACCGTCATAAATATAGTTACATTTAATTATGAAAAACATGATACAAAATACCTATGATTTTCAAAGTAATGACGGTGTTAACAGTCCTGGCCTTATGGAAGTCTACTCGACACCTGTATTCTCCAGCGTCACCTTCCTTCACTGGATCCAGCTGTAAGAAAGCTGGCTTGTTGATCATGTTAAAATAAGCTCGGTTCTCCAGCTGAGGACCGGAGGACTGACGGGCTTGGTCCACGTTGCCCCGGCGGGAGTCCAAGGTATAAATAGGCTGAGCAGAGTCATCTTTATACCAGAGGATCAGAGCTGCGGAGTCATCAGCGGAGGGGGAGGAGATGTCACATGGAAGAGCTACTTTACCACCCAATACAGCAGTATACAGGATGGAAGCTATTTTATAGAAAGAGAAAATAACGATTTGTATCCTTCAAAAAGTTATTTCTTTGTTGAATAATTAGGAAAAAAAATTCTGTATATAACTTTCCTTCATTAGTGTTAAAGTTCGGTATAAAAGAGAAATTACTTAAGCACTGTACAATGTAGAGATGTTATTTTTTGTTTCTTCTCACTTACTCAGCTTTAAACTATATATGTTTTCCGATGGTCAGAAATGTTGTGGGCAATAATGAACGTGTATACAGAAATGGAGAACAGACTAGCAGACATTATGTCTTGTTTTAATTAGTTTTCTTCTTCTCACGTCTTCATAAACAACCTTTTGTCTGTTCCGTCTTGAAAGACGAAAAAAAAATCATTAATTTTGATAAATTGAGTTCACTTGTATTTTTTTTTCATAGCATCTCGCCATCTATCTTCAAAACTTAAAACTAAGCTGTCTTCTACTAATTATTATGAACAAAATGACTGTGAATGGACCTAAGAATGTTAAGCTATTTAATAAAATATGTTCGGAATCACTTATGAACAAAATTTATCATTGTCCGCTTCTTTTGGTTTTTGTTAGTGAAAGATTGAGGGTATAATAGTTTCATAAGCTCCAGCAATATTAATTTTGTTTAATACACACTTGTAGGCAAGATACAACAGCATTAATCCGCTGAAATCAATGACATCTGTAACTACACAGGTTGCGCCTAATGCTGAAGTTATTCATATTATACGTAAAATTGAATAGAGTGATGCTTCATGATAATATCGTAATGAAAAACAACTTTTTGTTGAACAGTAACAGTAAACCATTATAAATTATATATATAAACAGAACGAATGTCTCCAACACCAAAAACAAATGCTCATTATCTGTTGAAAGGCGTAACGATTCCATTTTTGACACCTCAGAGAGGGCCAAAAGGTGTTTGATCAAGATTTATAGTTGATTTGGACACCCAGTTGATGATTAACCCTGAAGACTAACTTTTCTTGTAGTTCCCATGTATTTTATTAAAAAAGTTAACGAAAAGAAATAATGTTTTTGCTAGTTGGAATTTTTCATCTAAAAATAAAACAGGAAATTGCTGGGGAAAGATTTATGTGTCAAATCCTGGTTTATGTGATAAAATGTGTATCTCAACTCCATACATAAAGATCCCAATTTATAATAATATATTTCCCGAGACACTAAAATATGGTAAGCTATAAATAAGTGGAGCTGTCTTAAATTTATTTAATCATAAGTCCATGAAAATTACAAGTATATGAAGAAAAAAATAATAGTTTTCTACCTTTTTTCCAAATGAGTGTTTCATGGGCAATTATAATCTCATTTTATTCGTTGTATTAATCAATTTAATGATGGTTACATACCAACTCAAACGTGTGCTGCAATTCAACCGTATTAAAATAAAACATTGCAGGTCTAACATTGTAAATGTATAATTAAGGTACTCAATAACAGCACTCAAATGCATTGTATTAATAATATCTTTAGTTTTACAGGATTCTGTGGTATATTAAGGCACAAGTCTAACGCATTTATTTTTATTTTTATACGTTCTTGTAGTAATTTATTTTAAGTATTGTGGTGATCTTTATCTAGCAGGTGTAATAAAATCTATTTAATATAATTCCGTGAATTACTGTAATTTTTTTATTGGATAAATGTTCTGGCTATAGAGTCAAAAGGTTGGATTGCATTTATGAAAATTATCGATCAGCAGAAAAAAATATTGAATGTAAGAGAACAGAGAAAAACAGATATTTCCGTTTAAATACTTTTGCAACTCTTTAACAACAGAGATTAAACAAATATTTCTTGTGATCAGCTGAATATATAAACAATTTTAGGGGGTTATCTATTTTGCTGTTATCAAAACAAAACCATTATCGTGGACAATAAGGTTCCACATCTATCATCTTATAACTTCCTGATTGTTTATTCATATACACATAATATACACATTATGTATTTATGCATAAACACAATTTACCACATCTTTAAATAAATGTAAACAGTTAAATGGAAATATTATCTTAATTTAGTGTATTAACTTTTCATGGCATTACATTACAAACATAATGTAGATAATTAACTTCCGAAGCCTGTTGCTAATATCGATAATATATATATATATGTTTAAGTAAATGCTTTTTTAACATCACATGATAATAAAGAACGGCAGTAATAAATCACGTCATCCACTGGCTCAGCCTTAAGTCTGAGGACTAATAGCGCTAAAAATTGGGTTTCGATACCTACGGTGGGTGAGCATAGTATAGCCCTTTATATAGGTTTGTGCATAAAAACAAAATAAAACTTTCCAGTTGATTCTGAGCTTATGAAAACAGTAATTAAAAATTTAAAACAGTATATTATAAAATCTTTGAAATACATAAAAAACATTTTTAGTTATCTTATTGCTTTAAGTATAAAAATAAGTATGCAAGCTCAATTATAAAATGACCTAGACAATAAATGTAAACTAAAATAATTTATGACCTCTCATTTTCAACACTTTAAAGATTATATATCGCACTTCATAAACCACGGGTTGTGTTTCATAGTGTTTTCTAGTTTAATACAATCAGACTTTGAATCATTTTTTTTCAGTTATTATTCTGTAAAATACAGAGAGTTGAGTGCATTATTTTCCCGATAGGGCCTGAAGGTTGCCTTGAAGGGTCACCTGTTTCAACCACTCTCACCAATTACAGTAGTGTGTTGTCTGTCAGTCAGTCAGTCAGTAGACACTAAAATGACGACACATAAGGAACGCTTAACGTTGAAATTTGTACTGTCGTGACGTTGGCACAGCAGGACACGTGAACTTCAAAAGCAAGAAATAAAAATATTTGTTACACTTAATTTTGGTTTTAGTTACTTTTGAAACAGAACACTTTTGGGGACCCTGCGGAAGTACATCTAGTATTGGAGCATCATCACGTTGTTACAGTCCATAGGACGACGTCTGGTCATGCTCCTTCTGACTACCCTACGTCTTGACATTAGCCTTGCAGCCTAGGTTTCATTTAATAAAGGCTCCTTCTTAATACTGTCATGTCAACAGCACATTACTAGTATCTGCTTGCTTTCCGTAATCCATCTAGCGTATGAGGACGACGGTTTCAACAGACCGATCCCACAGAGCAGAAATCGTCAAACATTGCTTCTGGTGAATTAATCGGTATATCTTCATATGGTATAGCATGAATATCCGTTCCATTCTCGAGCTTATCCAGGTATGCGACAGTTAAAAGGGAGATATGACACTCAGCCTTATCTTATTGAATTCTAACCATTGACAGAGATTCTTCTTAATTATATACTGTGGCCTGAACTTGAGGATGACCCTGTCACTCACTTTTGTGTTCGTGAGGACACATATTATACAAGGTGTCGCACTTTATTTACAACGGTTGAGGCCCGACTTGTTGCAGGTTTTCATTATGGATCATCCTGCTACTCCAAGATAAACAATTTTCTTTCTTCTCCAATGCCATTTATTATAAGAGATGTCCCCGTCTTGTAAATTCTAAGACCCAGTCATTATTATGACTTGGGTGTACGAATATCTTTCGTCGAGTTTTTGTGTAAGTTTGTTTGTTTTAGCGTTAAGTTGCATAACAGGCTATCTGCGCTGTATTCACCACGGAGAATCGAACTCCAAATGTTAGTGTTGCTGGTTTATATAATTATCGCTAACCCATTAGTGGAAATTTTGCATCAGAAAGGGCTAATATGTATTTCTCCCAAAGGTGATCAATTTTTACAATTACGAACAATGCCAAGATGTGGTTCCCATAGAAACCTTTCCAACGCGATTTTATATTCGTTATGTTTATCAGGTGATGTTATGGTTTACATATTCAAAATCGTTATGATATAACGTACCAAAATCTGTATATAAAAAAAAGAAATATTGTTAAATTATAAAAGAATTAATCAAAAATAACTAAACTTGGAAAAGTTTGTTTTATGACAAAGCCACATTGGTCTATCTAAGTTGTCCATCGCGGGGAATCAAACCCTAGATTTGCCGATTGCAAGCCCGTAGACTTAAGGCTGTCTCAGTGGACCTTGGAAAAAGTAATAAGGGCATTTTAAAAGGATTTACGTGCACTAAAATAGATTATATAAGGGATGTAACAATATTTGATAATAGACTAAACACTAATTAAACATGACACTGATAAATAAGTAAGATTTTGTTAAAGTAACATAAATAGGTTAGACGGAAAACAAACTTCTAGGCCAGGAAGTGTTTCTATACTTAACGGAATAACTAATTAAACATTACACTGATAAATAAGTAAGGTTTTGTTAAAGTAACATTAAACAGGTTAGACTGAAAACAAACTTCTAGGCCAGGAAGTGTTTCTATACTTAACGGAATAAGTTTGTTTTAACTTTATACTCTTTCCTTTTTAGGCCCGGCATAGCCAGGTGGTTAGAGTGGTCGACTCGCAATCTGCGGGTCGCGGGTTCGAATCCCACCAAACATGCTCGCCCTTTCAGCCGTGGGGGCGTTATAAAGTTACAGTCAATCCCACTATTCATTGGTAAGAGAGTAGCCCAAGAGTTGGCGGTGGGTGTGATGACTAGCTGCCTTACCTCTAGTCTTACACTGTTAAATTAGAAACGGCTAGCGCAGATAGCCCTCGTGTAGCTTTGCGCAAAATTCATAAGAAACAAACAATCTTGTTTTTCAGGGAATATTCTAGAATAGTCCTTGAGTGAGTAATTTCGAAATTCAAACCATGATGTTTGCTTCAATAGAACAACTCTAACATGACAACATTACCTTACAACTAGTATTAAATAAGGTAACAATCGATCTTTGGAATAATAATTGTCTTCCTTTTTAAAAAAAATATATCTATTTTTAACCAGCAAGTTCTTTGTTCAGGCATTACAAACATAAATCCCTGTTTTTTAAAGCTCAAAGTGTCACATTCATCTCTTTATAATTATTTTCATTCTCGTGAAACAAGACATCCAGTATATTAGTAGAACGAGACGTGCCTTTATTTTATAGGTCATCTGATGTCAGTAACACTGAAAACTATTCAGGAAACTAATATATTGAGGATTTCTTAATATCAATTATGGGCTCAGGTCATTTTGATAGTTTAATTTAATTTGCAACAAAGCATAGTAAGTTTAAAGTTATTTCTGCTTTAATTAAACAATATTTGTTCAACGTTAGCCTAAAAAAATTGGGAAAAGTCTAGAACAAAAGAGAATTAACCTTTAGTTTAGAAAAACATATTTTTAAGTAGAAGATTAAGAAAAAAAACAACAGATTTTACTCAAAAGCTTAACTTTAATAACGTTTTTTTTTCTTTGAGACAAAAGTTTTATTTCATTGAAGTTAAGCACAAAGCTACACAGTGGGCTTTCTGCTCATTTCTAGTGTTATAAGTCCGCAGACATATCGCTGAGCCACTGGAGGCAACGCAGAAGTACATAAAACATACCTGTGCATAATAGTGATAGAGATGTAAGGCAGCTACTCAACAGCACCCTACGCCAACTATTTAGCTACTCCTGTCTGTTTTGATAGAGGTATTTGACCATTATTCTTATATTTTACCCTCGGCCCCATGGTACGAAGCGTATTTTTGCGCAACGATTCGCGAACCATGACTCCTCATATTCAGAAAAGTGAACGCTTTAGCTGCTTGACCAACGATAAAGAAATGATAATTTATCTTTGTTACTAATTATAGACACATTTAATTTTCATCTACAACCTGTGTTACATTCTTGTTCCAGATTGTCAAAAAAAAAACACTACTAACCTTAAATATTTGGTAAACTTTTTTCTTCAGATATCGTGTTTCCAAAAAAGTTTCCAGAACCTTCGAGAAGTGATTAAAACAAGCAACAATACAAAACAAGTGATTGTAAGGTTCGAAAAGGTCAAAGCTACACAATAGGCTATCTATGCTATGCCCACCGCGAGTATCGAAACCCGGGTTCTAGCGTTGTAAGTCCACAGACATGCCGCTGTACCACTGGGGGGGGGGGCAGAAAAGTAGTAACTAATTATCAATTCTGCTTAAGTCCGCTGACAATGGCAACGATTGTTGAAACATATTTACCCAACAAGAGTTAGTAGTATACTTTGAAAAATCTTATAATTTTAGTTTTGTAGTTATAAAGTAAAAATTTGGTCCAAAATCATATTTTATGCAGATCAAACTAAAAAAAAAAGAAAAAAAAAGAGAGATAATTTTAGGTAATGCAGGAAAGCTAACACCGAGAAATATACTTAGCTTATATTTATAATCAATAGCAATATTGGTTAAACATAAAAAATAGATCTCACAATGTATGTCAGTTAAATTCATACGCTTCTACATGGTGA